TTGGTGCCTGGTGCAAAATAGTGTTGCGTTCAGACACTGGAACTCCAAGTAACCAGGTACCATTTAGTGTAGGAGTACATGGTCGAGACCTTGTACCTGGGCATGGGCACTGTGCTCAAATTCTGGTGTGAGTACTTGGAAAAATTAGTGCCGAGTGAGAATCGTACTCTGACACTGTGCTTGGGCACCAAGTGTGAACATAGCCCTAGAGATGAACTTTCTGGGGGGGCTATTCAGAGTCATTTTTGGGCTAGTACTGGCTAGCACATTCTATTTAGAGCTTGCCAAAAGGGCAAGTTTCTTTGCACTACAAATGATTCATATTAATATCACCCAAACAGGACAAAGTAAACAATCAAGGAAGCTTTCAGAACTACTTACAGGGAGAGAGGAAGGCAAGCCAACAGTGAGTCAAACTGAACATCATACTAACTCCAAAAGAAAATGCACATAGTTTTCCAAGGTTACTCAAGTTTGGCATCTAGTGGACATTTTGCATTTAAAAGCACTGTGAAAATGAAGTGGTATGAAAATCTTCAACAACATTAGTTTTAAGTCAATGCATCTTTGTGGCTATACACAAATTTGGAATTACAGTGTAGCAAGTCAAATGCCTTGACTACTTTCCAGATAGCTGCTGATATCAAGTCACTGACAAGATGTGGCTTGTTTTTTTAGGTAAAATTCAGGTACAGCAAATGTTGTTAAATACCTGAAGTTTTACTTTTTAGTATGCCTTTAGTATCAGACTTGTTAAGATATTCTCTGTCTGGCTTGCCTAAGATGCCGCCAAAGTGTACCAAACAGGTACGATTAGGTTAAGGAACAACAGACCACACATGTTTTATTTATATATTTGTAGGAACCTCTAACAACCTAAAAAGAAGAAAATTGAAGAGAGCACAGAACAAACTGTTAAGCTGTTATTTAATTTCCCTTTCTGACCCTTATATGTATATTTTTGTCTCCCTCTAAGCAAGCGGAAACCAGTCAATAAATTTACAACAGCTGAAAGTGAATTCAAGAAAAGAAAAATGGAGAAAGAGCAGCAGATTAAGGTTTGTTGTTCATCTAGAATTTGGGTATATAATTTACAAACACACTAACAACTGAATTTACCATTACAGTCAACTCCTGCAAAGCATGCACATAGGGCCAACACCATTTGTCTTGCTTCTACTGGGAAGTGTCTGTCTTGGAGGGGTGTCTAGTGTATGTTAGACAT